TTCTTTAAGGCCCGCTAAAACCCCTCCTACAGCGAGCCTTCTTCATCCTAGGGCCTCCCCTGCTAATTATTTCCTATTTACTCTATATACAGCTTGTCTCTCCAACTAGACTGTGAGCCTCTTGAGGGCAGACTTTTCTGTCTCTTTATATGCCCAGTGCTTATCACAGTGTCTGGCACATAGTAGGTGCTTAATAAATGCCTATTGCCCACCTGACTGTCTGTGAAGCGAGGGGGTGGGGGTAGGCCCTTCTCAGGACAGGAAAGCCAGGGCGGCAGCTCCTTCCTCCTCCTTTATAGGTGGGGAAACTGAGTTAACCTCACCTGGGGAGCAGAGCCAGCTCTTCTCTCTCCATCCAGAACTCTTTCCGTGAGAGTAGGTGTCCAAGGAGAAGGCCCCTCCTTCCTGGAGGGAGGATGGCCTTTGGGTCCAGCCAGGAACGTGCTGTGCGGGGCAGGGTAGTGGGGCCTCCCCACCCCCAGCTCTCCAAGTTGTCCTCATCGTCAATGGGCCACCAACTGCAACTCAGTCAGATGAGCGCAAAGGCAGGGGAAGGGACGTGATGAGCTTCCAGTCTCAGGCGCCCCCAGAGTGGAGGCTGGAGACCCACCCTGTAGGGATGGGGAACCATGGATGTCTGGAGGGGCAGCTCAGTGGGGCCCCCAGCCATGGCTCAGAGCATCCTTACAGCCAGTGGGTTCCTAGAGGGCCCCATTTCCCTCAAATTGCTCCGCTGGACACCCAGGGACCTCTACATTCCAACAGAAACGTCCTGTCCCCCCAGCGTGCGCTCTCCCCTCCCCCGTGCAGGCTGCATGTCGACTAACTCTGTTTCATTGTGTTTTTATTTATTGCGTTAAATATTGGCCAAGTGCATTTGAAGCAGGCTCAGGCCACCTGGGCAGTGCTGTGGACCCATGTGGCTGGGTTTGCGTCTCTGCTCTGCCTTCCTTCCAGAGGCCAGTCCTTCCCCAGTCCCGTGAAGTGCACCTGCACTGCCCCTCCAACTCCAGAGGCCCAGCTGACTCTCCAGCGGTCAATCCTCCTCCCCCTTCCCTCCCCAGCAGCAGGCCCTTCAAAAGTCCATTGCGGATCCCAATAGAGGAGAGCCGACGCAGAGTTAGCATCCTCCAGCGGACGAGACCCAATGTGGCAATGCTTGTGTGAATGCATAGACCCTTCCCAATAACGCAGGGGCCCACGGGTTGGGAAGCACTATTCCGGACCCATCTGGCCCCTACAAGAGGCCCAGAGAGGAAAAAGCAATCTGCCCACGGCCACAAAGTGAGTGTGCCTGCCCAGGACCTCGGACCTCTTAGCGTCTGAGCCCTGCCTGCTCAGTGCTAGCCCAAACCCAGCCGGGGCCAGCGCTGAGCTTTCCCTGCCCCTCTGCCCCTCTCGGGCCTCCTGAGGGGGGCCAGGTGTCTGCCTGTACGTGGAAGAGGCCCCTGGGAACTGGACAGCGCCTCCACCTGTGTGCCCGAGGGCCAGGCCCCGCAGGGCCTGCAGAAGGAGGCAGCGCCAAGGGATGGTGTACAAAGTCCCTTACCGCTCTGCACTTGAGTCTCCCCTTCCCCGGTGGGATCTGCTCCTTAGGACCACGTCATTAGAGCCAGTGGGAAGTCGGCTCAGAGCCCCTTGTCTCATTTCCCCAAGGACAGATCCTGGGTCTGTTCCCCCTGACCGCCCATCGCTCACTGGCAGAGCCCCAGAGAAAGGGCCTGTGCCTGCTCTTCCCGTCTCCCCTCAAGGTCATGCTGATTTCAGTGACAACAATCTTTCGGAGCCGCATGTCCCCCTGCTCCCTTCACTGTCCTCCCCTCACAGAGAAAAACCAAGCTGAGGCCAAGAGGAAACATCTATAGGAGTCTTTATTACAACACATTGTTTCCAAATACAAAAGAAAGGAACGGAAAGAGGGAGGGAGAGGCCGGCCGCCGGCGGTCACTGATAAATAGCTCCACCAGGTGGGGGGGCAGCCGGGCCCCTCCCAATCTGCCGTGACCTGGGGGGGAGGGGCCAGAGGGGGAGGCCCCCTGGCCTAAGAGCAAGGGGCCAGGCTGGACTGGCTACGGTGTGGAGGAGAGAGGGCAGGTAGCAGGGTCTCCAGAGAGGGGGCCTAGAAGAGGATTTGATGTGGCCTGGCTGGGGGATGGCTGAGGAGGAGGAGGGCCTCGCCCAGAGCCCCCCTAGAACAACTCAGCACAAAGTGAGCCAATCCATAGCTCCCTCCTCCTCTCCCCATCACTGGTCTCATGCGGGGTACTGCCTCTCACCCCTGGATCCCATAGGAGCCAAGGAGCCAGGATGACTCAAGAGGACTTATTCCTCATTTTCCTCTGCTGTGGGATCCCCCATGCATCCCTGAGTCCCAGCCGTCCCTGCCAGCTCAGCACCCAGGCTTGGTGGCCTCCTGAGACTGGGAAGAAGGGACAGCTTGGGATCTCAAAGCATGAGTCCAAGAGAGGATCCTGGGGACCGTGGTCACAAGTAAGTGACTCTAGAGATGGGGGGGAGGGGAGGGGGAGGAAAGGAGCCCCTCCATCCCCTGCCCCACCCCCCATCTGTGACCTCAGGCAGAGGACAGCCTCACTCAACTGTCTCCCAGATAACTGGGGGGGGGGAAGGGGGACAAGAATGGGAAGGTGACCAGTGTGGAATTCACACCAAGCCACCAAGAAACTCAAGTCAACAAAGACCAGGAGGCAAATTTACATCATAATTAATAATAATAATAATTAATAATAATAATAATAAATACTTAATTCTCTAATCTGTGGATTGCAAATACAACCATGATAGCTTATCTTCTTATCTGGGAGCAAAAAAGACAAGGGTGGGGGTGAAGGAAGGGGAGGACAGGGGCAGTTACAAGGGGAGAGATAGAGGAAAGGAGGAAGGGAAGAAATGAAGTCAGCCAAAGGAAAGGTGGGAGCGAGCTGGAAGAGGAGTGAGCAGGATAGAGGGGAGGGCCAAAGGCAGAGGGAGTGGGAGCCTGAGGAGGGGGGAGATGGAAGGAACATGGGGGTGAACAGAAGAGACCAGTGAAGGCCCTGAAAGGCCGAGGCCTGTCTTCTGCCACCCCCTCCCTTCTCCCCCACCCAACCAGGCATCACCCTGGGGAGGGGCTACTGAAGGTCCCTGGCTAAGCCCAGACAGCTCCCCCACTACCCAGAACACAGGGATACTCCCAGGCTCTGGCTTTTTGTGTCCTCAGGAGGCAGAGACCCCACTTTGCACTGGGTACACAGAGAACAAGAAACAGAGGAAACGGCTGAGGAGGCCAGGCACTGGAAGCCTGGACCCTGGCACCCCCTGATGCCCCCTCAGTACAGCCCTGGCAAGGAGAGAGAGCAAGGGAAGCTGGCAGGGGCAGGGGCCAGAGGCTAGAGGCCTCCTTCGAAGGGACCCCAAAGCCTCATTCCTCCTACGGTTAGAGGGGAGGCCCTCAACCCCTAGGGAGGGTTGCCTCAAACACCACAGTTAGAGAGGAGACAGAGCTAGCTCTGGAGATTGAGTCCAACCCACTATTTTAGACATGAGGAAACTGCGGCTTGAGAGACAGGAAGGGCCTTCCTTAGGGTCACACAGCATGGGTGGGGGCTGTCCCATCTCCTCCAATGGGCTGAGAGCAGATTGGGGGGGGGGTGCGAAAGTCAGAACAGAGGGGACTGGAGAGGAGCAGAGACTTTCTTCCAGCCAGAAGCCTTTGGGTGGGGGCAGAGGAGGTAGGGAGATAATGTCCCCAGACACCTACTGGCCCAGGAGGGAAGAAGGATGGGTGAAACAGCCCAGAAGGGGGGGATTGGGGGAGTCCAGCCAGCACAACGAGGGCCCCAAGTCAGTGGGAGAGCAGCCATGACAGGCCAACAACAGCTGCCCACCTAGCCGCAACCCCCCCATTGTAACCCTGAGATTAGCCCTCCTTAAAGGCCGCTGGGCTGGCTTGGGGGGGGAGGTGGGGGACACAGAGCAGAACAGGCAGCAGCCCCCTACCCTGCCCCCTGTCTCTCTCTCTCTC